GTCTGGTTTTCTCCCTGGGTGGTCTGGTTTTCTCTCTGGGTGGTCTGTTCTCCCTGGGTGGTCTGTTGGTGGAACCTATTTGGTTAGGTGGAAGCGCTTTTTGATGGCTTCCTGTGAAAGGCTTGGGAAGTGCGGGGCAAGAAGGCTGAAGAGTGCCTTCCTCATCATCCTCTTCCTCCCAGAGCCTGTTGGCATGCGGTCACAAGGCCACATCATCCTTGGGGGTCCATGCCAGGTGCTTATTGGGTAGGACAGCTACATGCTCAGCATTCACCTCTGCCAGGTGACAGTGTGACTGGTGTTTGCCGAGGGCCCGTTTCGTCTTGAAACGGAGACCACAGAAGCGCGGGAAGCTGGGATTTTCTGCTCTGTTCTGGCTGCCAGAATCATTGGCACCCCCATCTCTACTGCTGGGGTCCGAAAGTCCAGGGGGGATTAGGACTCATTACTTTAGTCATGTCAGTCACCAGCAGCAAACCCTCTACAAGGTGGCTGGCCTTGCAGTGGGGTGGCTTGGGTCTTAGCTCCAGTACGGAGGGTCAGAGACACCATCCATACCTTCTCCAGCGGTCGCCACGGGGAGGCGCCCAAGCCGTGCAACTATGCTTCAATTAAGAGTCATAGTTACTCCCGCCACCTACTCTATTATCAGCCAACAGCTCTACCTAGCCTTAAAAAGGGCAGCTGAGGCTTTCTCTCTCTAGTTCTAAGGACCATCGCGATGGCCAAATTATGCCAGGCAAGGAAATTCTAAAAACCTATTATCAGCCAACAGCCACGCCTAGCCTTAAAGTGGCCCATTGAACTCTGTCCTCAAGAAACAATCAACAGGCCCAAAAGCTAACATCAGACCAACAGGCAGGAAATAATGCCCAAAGAAGGTGCCAAACACGTAAACAACAAATAGCTCAACCAAAGAACCTCAAGGCTACTTCTACCAACACTGAAACAAGAAGCCACTAATCCACTAAAACATAAGTTGGGAGCAAATTCTTTCTCCTCCTAGCACTTCACTTGTTGGTAATGAAACGTCTGCAAGAAAACCACTAAGCTCAGAGAGCACCAAGAACACCTCATTTCAAACACGAGCCACCAATGTTGTCCTGTACTGTATACAGCGCTGTATTGAAATGTATCCCCATGTTTATTTTCAGTGCTAAGAAGTCTGGTTGGTATTGGCATCATTCTTTTTAAGGAAGTGAAGGTGGGATGGAGGTGATCCAAAAGGATCGCCTTCCAGTCGGAGTACTGAGGGGGTCCTCAGGGACTGGGGGAGGCATGCAGCTGAGCCCGCCTGACTCCTCTGGCCTGATTCGCCCTCAGTGCTCGCTCATGACTTGGAAGGGTCACCCAGTGGGAGGCCATCCTGTGTGAGACTCCCAGTGTCTCTGCGTCTCTGTTTCTGCATGTGGAGGTTTGTGTGTATGTGGGTGCGTTCAGGGATTGAACGAGACAGGCAGCGGTCATCTACCTGGCTCCTTCAGTCCAAACGACAGAGACCGGAAGCTCAGTTAGAAATGTGTATGTTTTAGATACATTGGTACCTTAGCAAGGCCCAAAGGATTTTTTTTGCCATAATTAATCCCATGTTGCCAATAGTACCTGTCAGACTTCTTGGCTAAATGTGGTGCAGAATAGTTAATGAAACCAGTCCCTTACCTTTGATGTCTTCAGTTTTGACTGATTTTACTCAGTGAGTGCTTTCTGAAATAAAATAAAAAATCATCATCACCAAATGTCCACCTGATGTTCAAAGACTAGAAAACCAATTCAACAATTTCACAAAGGGGCTTTAATGTGCTTTATGCTACCATTAAAAAGAGGAAGATACAGTGAATTGGAATGTTGTGCCCTTGAGTATAACTCAGACCCACAGTTTCTACTGTTCCCAAAATTAACACAGGTGCTATAGTTGCTCCCTGAGGATATCGCCCCCATCCCACAACGTCTAAGACTCTCTGCTAGAATTACCTGAAGAGGCTACGGCACGGTCCAACGTGGTCCAACACAGAAAGTCTTCAGCTGCAAACTCTTGACAGTCGTTGAGCTCACTTTTCGGGTTCCAAGAATCCTGGCCAAAGTTACACCAGGCAGCAAAACTCTAAAATCTGTTTTCCAACAACAGCCCCACCTACCATTAAAAAGGGCCATTGAAGTTTTCTTTCTGGTTCTAAGAACCATCGCTGTGGCCAAAGTTACGCCAAGCAAGTTAATTCTAAAATCTAGTATCAGCCAACAGCCACGCCTAGCCTTAAAGTGGGCCGTTCAGCTGTGTTTTCTGGTTCTAAGAACCATCGCTGTGGCCAAAGTTACGCCAAGCAAAGAAACTCTAAAATCTGTTCTCCATCAACAGCCCCACCTAGTATTAAAAACATAGGTGGTATTCATCAGGTTCTGACCAGTTCTGGAGAACCAGTAGCCGAAATTTTAAGTAGTTTGGAATACTACCTCTGACTGGCTCCGCCTCCATTTCTTCTCTGCCTCCCGAGTCCCAGCTGATTGGCTGGGTCTTCTTTTGTTGTCCTGCACAGGAGAACGGCGCTGAAAAGCAGATTAATGGGGTGGGGAGGGAATGGGGATTTTGCAGTATCCTTCCCCTGCCACGCCTACCAAGCTATGCCAGACGCATCAAGCCATGCCCAGAAAACCGGTAGTAAAATTTTGTGAGTCCCATCACTGATTAAAAACATTGAGGCTTTCTCTCTGGTTCTAAGAACCATTGCCATGACCAAAGTCATGCCAGGCAGCAAAACTCTAAAATCTATTATCAGCCAACAACCACATCTAGCCAACTGTTTTCTAGTTCTAAGAACCATCGCCACCTCCAAATTACCCTAGGCCAGGAAACTATAAAATCTATAATCCTTCAGAACAGCCCCACCTACCATTCAAAAGGCCCGTTGAGGCGTTCTGTCTGGTTCTGAGAACCATTGCCATGGCCAGATTCCACTAGGCAAGACAATTATAGAATCTATAATCCTCAAAACAGCCCCACCTACCATTAAAAAGGCCCGTTGAGGCTTTCTGACTGGTTCTGAGGACCATTGCCATGGCCAAATTCTGCCAGGCAAGGAAAGTATAGAATCTATAATCCTTCAGAAGAGCCCCACCTACCATTCAAAAGGCCCGTTGAGGCTCTCCTGTCTGGTTCTGAGAACCGCCATGGCCAGATTCCACTAGGCAAGGAAACTATAGAATCTATTATCAATCATAGCACCAACTATGAATCAAACTACACTGGGAAAACTCAACCAAAACTTCAACTGGGAAAGTGACCATCGTATATTAAACCAAGTGGAACAAAAGCTATGAAATATCTAACCACCAGGCAGTCTGACAAATTAACCATCAGTAGACACACAGACCTAAACCATTTCTTTATCTGTGCACAAGGGACAATCTACAAGCCCAAAAGGAATCAAAAGGACCCAAGCATTTCAACATAAGCCACACATATTCTCATTTGTATACAGCATCATATTAAAGTTCATCACCAGCTTTTCTTTCAGTTTTAAGAAGTCTGGCTGGTACTGGCATTCTTTCCAAGAAAAAGAAGGTGGGAGGGAGGTGATCCAAAAGGCTTCCCTTCCAGTCGGAGTACTGAGGGGGGTCCTCAGGGACTGGAGGGGGGCTTGCAACTGAGTGCCCTCACTGCTCACTCTGGGATTGAAAGGGTCACCCAGTGGAACCCCAGAGCTGCCCAGCGTGAGTCTCCAGTTGAATGAGATTGGCAGCGGCCGTCTACCAGGCTCATTCAGTCTGAGCATCAGAGACTGGAAGCTCAGGAACTGGTCAGTTAGAAATGTATATGTTTTAGATGCACTTGTACTTTAGTAAGGCCCAAAGTTTTTTTTTTTTGCCATAATTAATCCCGTGTGGCCAATGGTACCTGTCAGGCTTCTTGGGTAAATACAGCACTGGGAAGTTAATAAACCTGACTTACCTTTGATGTCTTCGACTGCTTGTCTGTTCTGATTCCCTTCACGTAGAGTGCCTCTGAAATAATAATAAAAAAAATCAACATCACCAAAAGACCACCTGATTTTCAGAGACTA